TTGTCCACACTGCTTCCAGCATCAAACCTGATTGATACGTAGATTTCACCATTAATTTCTCTTCCTGCAACACTTTTGTTTCTAGATCATCTTCAGAATTAAGGTCAAGTTCCTTAGCTTGGCCATAAGACCTTTCTCCCCAACATTGTTACTTACTGCATACTCTGCTTCCTGTCCATGCTGAACAGCCTACTGGTTCCAGTCACACTCTTTCCTACCTCTGTATCTGGGCATATTTGGTCTATCTTCCCTCTGCACTATCACTCCTCTCTAAAAGTGGCATTGTAGCCTAGTGGATAAACATGAAATTTGGGGGCAAGAATCTCTGATATCCAGTCTTGGACAAATTGCTTCTCTTCTTTAAGCTTTAATTTTATCCTATGGTTGTTTAAAGAATCAAATCAGACATGGTTGAATAAATGAATGAATTATGTATTTATTTAATGCCTGCTATCTGCCAGGCCCTGCTCCAGTAACTGAAGATACAACAGTGAACAAAACCGTTGAAGCCCCTTCCCTAAGGGAATTTATATTCTATCTATTGCATAAGAAGTGAACAAGAAAGTTTACTGTTATTACTCATCCAAAGTGGTATCATCTATCTGGGGGAACATGTCAGACTAATCCCAATTTCCATTTGGATGTTGGCACTCATTTTCCATGGTCCTGTACTACCATATATGATATCATTATTATAGCATTTGTAATCATTAGAATTGCCAGTTATTTTTACCTTACTCACCCACAACCCTGGAAGTGGTCAGAGCCTGAGATTATTTTTTTTCTTGTTTTACTAGCTCTGAATACATAAGAAAGCCATTTATAAGTGTTAAGTAATGAATGAACATTTTTGGGTATGCCCAACATATTATTTTAAAATAATAACATCTACCACTAATGAGAATTTGCTGCGTGCCAGCTGCTGCTAAGAGCCTAAAATGCATTATGTAACTAACCCCACAGCAAAACTATGAAACCAGTATTAATACACCTACCTTATAGATGAAGAAACTAAATTTTTGAGATGCAAAATAACTTGCCCAAATCACACAGTTAGGGAGTGGTGAGGTCAAGCCCAGGCCCAGGGTCTATTTAAGTCCAGAGTTCCTTCTTTAATCATGATACAATCATGGGCAATTGGAGATGTAAGACAGTGGTTTACAAACAATTTTTAAGTAAACCTGTGTACATAAAACAAAGGTTGAAAACACAGACATACAATGACATTTTAGCTACCCCTTGGTCCCCACCATAATCTCTGTAACTTCTTCACCCTGCCGGTGGCTGGAGAACCAGAAGCAATTTAAAACTGTCCAGTTCTCAGTGTTACAGCCTCTTCCAATTTTATCCATCTTTGGATGAACCTTTGATGTCTGTCCTTTTCTAGCCCCTCTACAAGATGGTGTCTGGAGGACTGAATTGGGTCGTGGGGCTTTTAGAAACACAAAAGGTGGGGGAGATTAGGGGCCTCCTAGTCTCATGCTGGTTCTTAGGTTTGCAACGTGAGTGTGCAGAGGAGGAGCTCTTCTGACCCCCTTCAGGGGCATTCTGTTGGGGCTCTGTGCTACACCCTTAAGCTGTAGTGTCTTCCTTCACAGGCCTAGCAGTGTATAACTTCCTCAGAGATTATTATTTCTCTTTTTTTCAGCTCTGACTGCAAAGTTTCACCCTATGGACCTAGGTTAAAATATCCCTTTGCCTCTGTTGTAATGAAGCCCCTACTGCCACCACCACTGTCATAAACTCAGCTCTCTGATAGCACCATCCATTCAATCTCCTACTTATTCCCTGCTGGGCAGACAGAAACTTCTAGATACCTGCCACAGGTCATGCTTCTCCACTTCAGAGTCAAACTCAAACCTACTCTTTCCGCCATACCAAACCACCATGAACCTGTAATGTGATGAGACTGCACCTCATTAGAGAAGGGAGATCTGTACTATGAGGGCTTTACCTCCTTAGGAAAGATGTGTGTGGGGGGGTCTTACTATGATGGGCTGCAGCTCACTTGGTGAGGGAGAGAGTTGCTGATCCATTTTTTTCAAGGTGGTTGTTTCCTAGATTCTCAAATATGGAAATGAGGTAAAAGAAAGCCCTTAGTTTTGGCTTGGAATTCAGCATATTTTTCTGTTTTTTATCCCCAGCCCTATTTTGTATTTTTAGAGACAGGGTTTCACTGAGTTTCTTATTAGTGCCTTGCCATTGCAGGGGCTGGCTTTAAACTCTCGATCCTCCTGCCTCAACCTCCCCAGCCACTGGGATTACAGGCATGCAGCCTGGTTTTTTAAAAATTTTTAATATTTTAGTTGTAGATGAACACAGTGCCTTCATTTACTTATTTAAATGTGGTACTGAGGATCGAACCCCAGTGCTTCACACATGAGAGTAAAGCACTCTCCCACTGAGTTACAACCCCAGCCCATCTTCAGCCTATTTAATGTCTCCCTTCTAAAGTAAGCCTGGTGGCCCGTAAATGGGAGAACACCACTCTTCCCTATCTTTATCTCATCCTTCTGTATACTCAGTTGGGTCTGGAAAAGATGGGATCCCTCCTCCCCTTTCCTGCCTTTTCTATGCTTTCTATATATCTACACCATCCTCCTTCCCATTCCCAAACTGGAATTTGCCCTCCTCTTTTCCCCTGGGCTGAACTTGAGAATGGCTGCCAGGTAACCTGATTTATGGGGAGAGGAATGAAAACACATCTGTTTAATATTTTCAAATTATTACCCCTGTTACCCCTGCGTCTCTTAGGGTAATCACTGGTCTCTGGAGCTCTCTGGGTCCCTTTATAGTAGTGTGGCTCAGAGCAAGCATAGAGGAAGATTTACAAGGGCTCTTAGATACCTCCCTCACCTGACTTAATATCCCTCCCTTTCAGCCTATCAACCAGATTCTTGGCCATCATCTCTACTTTCATGAGCAGCCTAGAAACAAAGTGGGAGTATTCACTCCACAAAATTAGTGGGTATAATTAATGGACTATAATGAATTCTGACAGATTTAGTCCTTATGATAACATTAGTTATGTCCAACATATTACTTAAAAAGGTGATCATGGAAAAGTTAGCCGAAGATTCCTAATCGAGAAGCATACCCAAACATGTTGAATATTTGATTTGTAGACTGTGCCCTTCAACTTTAAACTGTCCCCCCAAAAGGGGAAGCTTTTATGAAAGAGAACTAATTAATAAGGAAATTGACAACAGTGGTAACAGAAATAGTAAGAGGAAGCATGGTTCTCTGCAGCAGTGAGTGCATTCTGAGCCCCTTTAGCTCATTGTGCAATGTGAGACTTGGTATGTATCTCTTGTATTTAGATTTTTATTTGGGTACTTTGTTAAGTCTTAGGTCAGAACTGGATCCTGACTGTATGAGAAAGAAAAAAATTCTCATGTAAATGGGGATGTGCATGAAGGAATCAACTTGTGCACTGTGAACTAACTGGAGAAGCAGAATAAAATTATTAAAATAATAGCCTAAAAGGAGAGAATAAAATAGAAATAAAGGGGCCCCCCTTGTTTGAAATTATCATTACCATCTGGTTTGTGAAACATTTGATTCCAATTCCAGAAGCTTGATACCAGAAATAACTTATAACCAGGGACATATGCTGGAGAATTGTCAGGAATGACAGAGTTTTTACTTGTTTTTAATATCTGTATCACAAAATAATGAAGCTGATAAAAGTCTACAATATTGGGGAGGAATGAACCATACATATCCTAGGACTTTCTGCCATACGCATTCTTGCCGTGTCTTTCATACCCAAATTCTTCTTCCCTTTCCACCCCATGAAAGTTAAAAACCACTTCTGATAAGTAGATAATTCTTCAGACTCTCTTCTCTGGAGGAAAGTACTGGACATATTTGGGGTCTATACAAAATCTACAATCCATGGATTGTCTTTCACAGTGGTCATATTGGGTGTGATTCTTGATTCTTACCTCAATATATAATATTGGAGTAAACATTATAGACAGATCACTACTATTTAGTCCTATAAGATTAAAAAAAAAAAAGCATGTCACTTTTAAGTTCCAGTTCACCCCTTCCTATATGACCTTCAGCAATTTACTTAAATCCCTCTAGTTTATTCATTTTAAAAAATGGTTAATATTAATACTATCTTACTCATGGGCAATGTATTGGAAAACAACATTTCAATGACAGAGAGCAGCTTGAATGTTAAGAGCTTCCAAATACTAAATGAGGTGGTCGCTTATTTAATTCACATGGAAACAAAATAAATGGCACAGAATCAATGATCTGTATCAGAAGGCAGTCTAAAGATTTTTGAATTTGAGGGTTCTGGGTAACTGTGATCTTATAAAACAGTGGTTATTTTTAAAAACCCTCTTTAGGGATTCTTTATACAGAAAATCTCGTAATTTATGGTCTTTGATCCTCACATCATTAAAGGCTACATTGATTAGAAGGAAATACAGCTTATTAGGCTTTCAGATTATTTGCTTGAGGAGGTTGCTGCTTTGAAGAGTAAGGGAGGAACCTAGACATTTTTTAACCCCTCTAGTCGGATACCTTTTCTCGAAGGTGGCCACTAGGCCTTTTTTGGATTTTTTCCTGAAACATGCCCAAGTTTAGTTCTGGTGGCATAAGAACTTGGTATTGAAGGAGTTAAAGGGTCTCCCACACCCCTTTGCATGAATCCTTCTTTTGTGTACACAGCTGCAGTCGGAGCACGGGTCGGAAAGGAAATGGTTAGAGGAAGAGCTGGTTTTCAGACAAGGCGAGTCTGCGAGGGGGGCTGCGGGGTGGCCTGGGGTTTTACATGCCAGATGTAGGCCTGCCCGGGTGCCTGCCTGCAGCGGCTGGCGTGGTCACGCCGCGGCCCTGTGTGAATTGAGGCGAGGTGATGAGTTAGCGGGTTGCTATGGCGACCGGCCAATCACGTGACCCGGGTGCTGTGCCGGCGCTCTGACGTCAGCGGCCGGGAGGGCGGGACACAGGAGGGCGGGGCGGGGCGGGAGCTGAGCGGGGAGAAGCGGGCGAGCAGGCGGCAGGCACGATCCCTGTGCTGAGCAGGCGAGCGAGCGGGAAGACGCAGCCACCTTCCTCACTAGCCAGCCCACAGCGGTTTGTTCCCTTTCTTGGGAGTGCGCCAATGCCTGGGCCGACCCAAACCCTGTCCCCAAATGGCGAGAACAACAACGACATCATCCAGGATAACGGGACCATCATTCCTTTCCGGAAGCACACTGTGCGCGGGGAGCGTTCCTACAGGTAATGGGGCTGGCACCAGCGCAGCGCCGGGCTGGGGACCCTGGCTGGGGAGCAAGGAAATCCGGCCGTTATATAATGGAACAGATACTGCCCGCCACCCGGGCTGCAGACGTGCGTTTGTGAAGGCGGTTGCAATCATTTGGTATCTGTTTTCGTGTGTCATGTTGGGTATGCATCGAGGCTTCTCGATTGCAGATGGGAAGCATTTTGTGAATAGGTTGGCTGCCTGCAAGGGGTCTCCCTCCATCTCTTCCCTTCCACATTGATAAAAATGCATGCTATTTCCCCCTCCTCTCCAAAGGGAGACGGGCTGTAGCACTTCCTTTCCTCTTTCCCTTTTAGATTTTAAAGGAGCCATTAGGTAGAGGTGCCTAAAGGCAGAAAACAAATGGGTGGGTGTCGAGAGAAAAACGTTTGTGCTTAACCTGGAGAGTGTGCGGGAAAGATGGAATCCTCTAGATTAAGCTGCAGTCTGTGATGTTAAACCGCCAGATTGATGGAGCTTTGTAAGAATTCTGCTCGCTGATTGGTGCAAGGATTGACAGCAGAGGTCACAGTGTCAGACATTCACCAAAATTTTCTCCATGGAACCCTAGGTTTACTAGAAAGAGACTAGACTGCAATGAATCTGAAAAAAATTTGGGCACTGTTATGTATTTTCCTAGGAGTTTATGGCCTCCGCATGGGTGGGGGAGCCCTTCCTTCTTAATGACAGTAGAAAGGTAATTCCTGGTATTTTGCTGAGGTCTGATTTGAGGATAGGAATGATCTTGGTCATTGTATTGTGAGCCTTTTGATTAATGAGCTCGCCTGTATGGTTGGCATCGTTTTTACATTAACATATCTGGCAATATGTTCCCATAGATAAGCTCATTAAAATTGTTTGCATTGTTTGATAAGGATAACAATGTAATGGAGAATGCAGCTAGGGTCTTAGGCAGCTCAAGGCCAGACTTAAAGAGAGACTGATAGCTTCAGTCATATTTCCTCAGAAGTTCTTTTGTACTGGGTTAGTTATTTTTAAATGTTACCTTGATAACCGCTAACAATGCTTTTGCTTTGAAGCAGAGCACACATACCTCTAAAGCGCATCCTCTCAGCTAGTGAGCAACAAGAAAAACTCTTTTTCTTTAAAGACTTCATCTAAACATTAAGATGGTTTTACAAATGGAATATTCTGTGTATTTAAACATTGTGTGTCATAAAATAGGGTCAAAAGCACCCCACTCCCTTTCTATTTTACCAAAGACACATACTGTTTGTTGACTCAAAGAAAAAATTATAAGCAACCTTTGCCCTGTCATCTCTGGCAGTTACATAAATACTTGGAGTTAATTTTGGCTGTGCCCATGAGGTCACCCAAATCCCATGCCTTATGGTTCCAATGAACGTGTTGACATGATATCCTTACAGATTTCAAATGCTTGTTATTCTTTTATTGTAAACCAAAATTGGTCCAAAACTTCTAGGACTCTCCTTTTACAGACCCAGTAGTTGGAATGTTGGGCACCTTCTTACCTTTCTCCTCTGTGAATATCCCAAAGCCTAAAAATTGAATTTAAAAACAAAAACTTGAATGTGCTTTTAAAACACATTCATTTGAAGTTGCCTTATAAGTAATAAATTTGATGAAGCCCTCACTTTTTAAATGACTTAATTCCTGCTATGTTGGTAGCAGTTGCTTTTTAAGATGGAGTTCCAATTTTACCACGTGGGCTAAAGGAAGTTGCCTAGTTGGGTTTTATTACTCATATGAACTAACTTGAAGTGGCAATGGAAAATCACTTGACAGAAAGGTTAAATGTAACCTTCTTGTGATAAATTATTGCTTAATAATACAATTGCATTTACTTCTTTAATTCAATCTGTTAATGATTTCCATTTCTTGAATTATTTCCATTTTGCTTGATGTGTCCCAATAACAGTACCTGAGATTATATAAAAAACAAAACTAAATTTTAATTATGACTGATTGAACAAATTCTTAAATCAGAGCATCATTGCATTTGTCTTTTTTATAATAGGGTTACTGGATGCTATAGCAAGAGATGCTATAGGTTAAATGAAGATGGAAGCCTCAAAAATTGCATTTGTATTGTTATTTAAAGGGTGTGCTTGGAGACAAATACACTGGGTGTTTTCCTTGGTCTGCTTCTCTTTCAAAGTGGATGACCAATGTAATATAACTACCACTTATTTTTTTGGAGAGTCATAGGGAAGGAAAAATGTGACACTTTTTTTTTTTTTTTTTTTTTTAATGAAGGAAGCATTCCATCATTATTTTGGCATCCCAAGACTGGAATAATATAGCCATTTATTTGCCGAGGAAACTTGGAAGGCAAATTGAAAACCATAGTAGAAATTTAACCAAATAAAAGTTTTACTTTAGCTATAGTCTTGGGATAGCACTCACCAATGAGATGTGCTTGGAAATTCTCTTTGGTGTTGCTTGGGGAACCTTGGGGAGCCCAGGGCCCTAACAAGACCAGAAACAATTCGTTTCTTGGCTGCTTTACTAACTCCTAGGTAGGCTTCCAACAGGCCCTTTATCTTAGGCTTTTTTATCTACCTTTGCTTCTTACATATAAGGATATGCAATCCCATTCTTTGAGATGTTGTGAGGTTGACTTCAAATATTAGAAACAAAGAATCTCTTAAAAGAGCTATGTAAATAGGAAAAGAATGCTGTTATTACTGAGAAAGGGATTCTTCCAGGTACTCTTGGACAGGAACACACCTTACCTTGCTGGCAGCACAGATGAAAGGAAAGGAGAACAGGGCAGTGCCCCTGAGCCCTGATGTTGGACTAGTGGTCACTCTTCTATTTTTATAGCATATGTACCAGATTGTTCACAGGTGAAAGTCGGATATGGTCCCTGACCCAGATCTTGGAACTCAGGTGTCAGTCTAAACAGAACCCATTTTCACAGCTTAGAGTAGAATAGGAGGCAAATCATTAAGGGAGCTAGTGTCCATTTGATGAGAAAAGCAAGTTTCCTTTATAGAATGACTCCTGAATTAGTAATTTCAATGGAAAAGAGCCAAGTGCCAAAATGGCTCAATCCAGTCATGTGCATGTTTTCCCGCTCATGTCCACTGTCGTGTTATCACCTTCTCTGCCCCGGCTTCCTCATTGTACTGAGGAGCATTAGAAAGCCTTATATTTTAAGAGTTGCTTAAAAAATAAATGTGGTGAGGGCCATCTGAGGCGACACTGTTGAATTCACAGAGCGAATGAGTCGTGCTCTGAGTCTCCCTGGAGAGGATCCTCCCCATAGCTCTGTTTCGTGCAGATGCTAGTTGAAAAGGAGATTTATTAACTGGCCCTCATGGCATCTTTGTTCACATATTCCAGGCTTTTGAGAATGCATGTGTAAGGCTAAAAAGGACTGTTTTAAAATGGGTGTTTGAACATGTAACTACAATAGCATGTTTTCTGAGTACTTAAGGGGGAAAAAATAAAAAGATTACCTGGCTCCAGGGGATAGACTGTAAAGAATGGCAAAACTAAAATACAAGCTTAAAACGTTGACCTAAAACATCAGGCTATGCCAGTAAGACAAAAAAATGAGCTGTTTCTAAGGAAGACAGAGAACTGTCATTTGTATAGACATATAAAAGATGGAGGCATGAAAATGTGTTCCACTCACTAGAAGCTATTGTAACGTGGCTTACTTTTACCAGAACATAGATTTCAGATCACGTTCACCCAAAGCAGTAGCTATAGACAGCCAAAGTCCAACTTCACATGCGTCCATTATGTACCTATTAGTACCATCTGGGTTTAATACTGCCAAAGGAGGTTTCGGAAAATATGATTTGGTGTTTAATATTTTTCTTAGTGTTTGTAAAAGTCAGAGAGTTACTTGATGTTTTGCTAGGTGCCCAACTTTGGAACTGCTTTTCAGGGTCCTCATCAGAGCTTTTGTGAATGGGATGGTCTTTGGTGCACTTGTCCTTGGGGAGAGGTCCACCCCTGCTCTGTAGCTTGTTGTCATAGTATCTGTTTACAGTGCATGATCTTAGCACAGCAGTTGTGTGAGATTACACTCTGGAATTAGAAGGTTGATTTCCTTATGCAGCATCTTTTCTGTTTTTATAGGTCTCCTATCGAAGCTGAAGTAAGTCCTTAGGTTAATTAAGTGGACAGAAAATATCAGGTCTAATCTAAATATTCCATTTGGGTCAAAGAACTAATTCAGTAAATGTTTGAGAATATACTCTGGCCAAAGTCTATGCCAGATGTCCCTTAAGGACCTTGAATTCTAGCAAAGTCAGATATAAACAGCTCCTTTTGTGGCAAATTTACATTGCTGTCAATATTTTGCTTAGTCTGATAGCAAAAGTGGTTTGCATTTCCTGTGCTCACAGTGACTCAAAGTAAGTAAAGATATTCTCAAGGAGAGTATGTGGTACGAAGCTAAAAGTTGGTGTGGGAAAGCAAATATATTGGTGAAAAGAGCATAGGCTATGGAATCAGAGTTTTCTCATTGGCCTGGCCAGGTGCATGGTGGGCAATGGTGGGGAAAAAAGGCAGGAGCATTGAAAGATAGATTGGGTAGTGGGAGCCTAGAAATAGGAAACCACTACAAGTTTATTACCTGATGGATAGGATAATGGGGCAGAGGTGTGTTCTGGAATAGTCTGCTGTTTTGAAATGAGAGTTAAAAGGAAAGTGGAGTCTACCAGTGTTCATCCATTCAGAGGGGCCTGGAATTACTTAGGGAATAAGTAATTCTCACTGGTACTATGAGAGAATTCCAGACCCCTAGTGTGCAGGGATCAGGATAAGGTAGATAGATGGATGTTCCCTGGCTCAGGACATCTCTCCCTGTGTAGAAGGACTTCATAAAGGCACTGGTACTTAGGTCAGAAGTGGCTTTTAAGGGGTGGCTAGTGTGAAGTACTTACACTGTTCTGATCCTCCCAGACCCAGAATCAGGGTGTTTGGCACTTCACTGTGAAGGATCATGCCACAGGAGCTATAGATGAGGCTGGTG